CTGACACTGCCCCTCAATAAAACAGCAAGTTTACCACAACTTTTTTTTGGATGACAAAAAGAGGTAAATGAACACTGTTCTGCTTGCTGGACTTAAAACCCTGTGATGGCAGTGCCCATTTCAGTCGATCACAGATCACTTCCACTTCTTGTGAGCTGCTGTGAAAATTGTTGTCTTCCCTCACAGGGACTGGGGATAGACCATGGCTATGAGGAATGCTTCATGCCCACACAGTCCAGTGCAGCCTTCTGCAAGAGGAAAAAGGTTCCTGCAACACAGAGCAGCTGCTTGGGCTCTGGGGAACATTTTTCCACTGGGATAGGTGAGGGCCAGCCAAGAATAAGAAAGTCTGAAGGGCATCTGAGGCAGACACAGAGGATTTTGCTGAAATGAGACAGCCAGGGTGCTGGGGTGTCACAGGAAGATCACCCTTGGCACACAGAGAGGGGTGGACAGCATTTTTGCAACCTGAAAGCTGAACACTACTGCACTGGGAATCAGTCTGAAAGAAAGACAGCTCCATCAGGACAAAAGAAAAGGGGCATGGGACAGTTTTGTTCATAAACATCTTATTTGAATTTCAGTTTACTCCAAGCTCTTCCAGTATCAAAGAGAGTTCAGAGTTATGATGCAGGATGTCTACAATGTGCAGCCCAGCTAAAACCTGTGTTTTGACATTCAAAACCCTTTCCACTGTGTGAGTGCTTACTTCAAGGAAATGCTCCAAAGAAGGGCAGGCACCAATCCACTGATTCCTCTCCAAGCTCAGGAACCTACAAAGAGCTGTCTTGTCAAAACTGTGATTAAAGTAAAGAGTTTGGAAGAAGTCAAGTCACAGGAAATGGGACTGAATTACTAACCCTTGGGTACCCACAGCCTCTGCAGTGTACAGGACCATAGCTGCAGAGAACATAGCTAAGAGAACATTCAGGCTGACCTGCAATAAAGACTATTCAAGATATTTTGATGTTGCTTGGGTTGTTTTTTGAAAGTTTGGAAATTAAATAAAAAAAATAGTTTGAAAAAAACAGTAAAATCACCAAAACAGACAACTATATCAGACACAGAGAATTAAGTCATCTGCTAATAAATTCAGGTTAAAGTTATCGCTATTGAAACCACAAATTGCCTTCACATTCCTCTATTATTGGAAACATTTTAAGCTTTATTCTTTTAGCTTTTTAGGCAGTTACTTATCTGGGCTTTGGGAGCCACACAATTAATTGGAAGGATTTGAACCTATATCTTGCATCTCCCAGGAGTGTGCCCATAACCATTATTCTGAGGTGGTTTTCTCTTGTTTCCTGCTGTTACTTTGCCAGCTTGTGTAAAATGCTAAAAAAGTCATTGAGAAGGAAAGAAATAACCAGGTGGTGAGAACAACTTTATGAGTCTAAAGGATGGGACATGGATCAGTAATGATACAAAAGATCTAGAAGCCTGTGGAAAGATAAGGCACTCACCTGAAAGCTGAGAATTTTGGATTTTGTTTCCTTATGAAATAAAGTAACTAAATCACGAAAACAAAACAAACAAACAAGGAAAAAAAATAAAAAAGGCAAAACAAAACACACAAACTCCAAAGCCAAACAAATAAAAATAAAAGAGAACATCAACACCTCCTTTTTCAAAGGGCTTCAAATTTTGCATTTCTTATATTAAATAAAAAATGATGAAACAAAACTAGATTTTTCTAGTAGAAGCAATAGCATCGTGGACAGCAAAATTTCTAAACTGAAAAACTTATAAAGAGGAGCTGAGGTAATTTGGCCTGTTCAGCCTGAAGATGAGACAGAACAAAGATGAGATTTGTTCAGGTCTCATCTGCCCTAAGGAGGGCAGCAAGGGCAAGTTCTGATCTCCCCTCTCTGGTGACCAGCAGAGCACACAAGGAAAGGGATTGAAGGTGCCTCAGTGGATGTACCTTCACTGAGAGAGAATGTGGTCCCTGGAATGGCCAACTAGGGAAGAGGCCATGGCACCAAGCCTGTCAGAGTTCAGGGAGTGTCTGGATGATGCTCTTTGTCACATGGTTTAGTTTTAGGCAGTTCTGTGAGGAACAGGGAGTTGTACTTGATGATCCTAATGGTTTCCTCCTAGCTCAAGATATTCTGTGATTCTGTGATGCTGTCTATGATCTACAGTTTCTTTAAAGTTTTATATAATCCAATAGTTCACTTCTTCATGCTACTCAATTATATCTATTAATTACATTCACCTTATTAATAAGAAGAGTTAAATTATTTCCAGGCCCATGTAGGAAGTGGGTCATTTGTCTTAGCAGTGAACCATTATATAAGATAGAAGGATCAATGTTTCACAATATTGATACAAAACCAAGATTAAACCTTTTGGACAAAATTATTCTGGTTTTAGAAGTTTCTACTGAGCAGAAAGTCTCTGTAGAGATGGGAAGACAGAGAAATGACTAACTATGATCTGGAATTAAAGGATATTACAGACAACATTGTATTATCAGATTATCTTTCCACATGAAGATTTCCACAGAACATAATATAAAAACACATGAGTAACTCGAAACAATACATTAAAAATTGTGATCTAAGTAATTTTTTTTTTAATTCTGTACCTGTTAATGATAGACAAGGAGAGGCAGAAAGAGATGCAAGAAATGAGGAAGGCCAAATGGTTATTACAAAGTAGAAAGAGCTTTATATGATACAGACTCAGAAGAGAACAGGAAAATGTTATTTTTTCAGAGATCCTACAGAACATCTAATTTTGTTACTTTCATTTAATTTCTTAGGGAGGGAAGGAAAAAAAGCACATCGAAATGTTAGAAATAAAAAGAAAACCTAACTTAAATGTATTGTCATAGATTGTCCCTTACAGTTCAATTGTCAGCACACAATAATCTTATTTCCATGAACAAGATGCTAGGCAGAAACAATTACATAATATATCTAGTTTTTAGTCAAAATTCCAAGAGTACAGTGAAGACAGACACAGACAGCAGTTTCTGCTTCAATCAAAATTAGTGATAAGAGAACTGGCTTGAAGCTATCTGGCCATGAAAATGGTAGAAAAAGTGTTTTCTTTCCCATCAAGTCTAGTGAGCAGAATATCTTCTGGAGAGACTGGGAACAAGTGGTGAATTGCCAACATGGAAACACGGGTCTAGCAAACGGATTTGATGACATTACATTACATGACCCATCAATTAAACTTATGCCTCATCTTTTAATTTATATTCGTGTAGACTGAAGAGTCTCTAGCACACAGACTGCCAGGAGGACCAGATGCTTCCTTCTATTAGTCCACACACAAAAAAATTAACTGAATCTATTTGAACTGCGTGTGTGTATTTTCTTCCTGTCTTAGGACAACATTGTTCAATTACCATGAAGGATGGAAGAGCTTTTAATATGAGAAGTTGTCAGCTGGATGAAGCTTAGAAGACACCTCTTTATCAAAAACAGACTTTTAAAGACAATTTCAAGTGCGGTTACAAATCTCAAGAAAGAATTTCATAAAGGAATTGTCTTATCCCAAAGTACCATGACTGAAGCTGTCTGCAGTTCTGAAATACCAACTAGTGGAACTTGACTCTTTTCAATGAAAATACCTTAGCACATCTCATATTTCTTGAGTTATACACTACTTTTGCATTGACATGCTCTGGATGAGAATTAGAAATATTTCAACTGATTATAGTGCTCATGCCTTTACTTTTTCAGAAATATACCAGGAACATTTACTAGTTTTTAGAAGAGCCTCTGCACAGATCTGATGAAAAATCATCTGAATATTTCACTGTTTTAGCTTGCCTCTTTTATTTTAACCTGTCACTGTATTGTATAAAAATTCAAATCTCACGTGATAAATTTTGCTTTAAAATATTTCTATTACCTTCAATAAGACTGATAACAATTTGTTTTTCCAGTACCAGATATCCATCAAGTACTTTGTTTAGATAGATACATACATCAAATAACTGTTATATTAAAGAACTAAGCCATCTGTTAGTGGCTGACAACACAACAGAACCATAATCACATAATAAAAAATACTGCAAAAAATGACAGATCTGAATCTGAAATGCAAGCACAAGATACAGACAAAACTGCTGCAGAATGAAACAGAGCAACAAGTCCACTAAAATCACAGTCCTTGTTTGAACAGAATAACAGCAAAGTCCTGGCTCCAAATGTAGGTCTGTCCCTAAACTTCAGATGGTGGAGGGCTGGAGATCCCCAGACAGCCTCTGGAAAGGCATGTGACACAAAGTGGAGCATTGCTCTGCCTTGGTGATTCCCAGGCTCCTGTACACACCAGATAGCTTTCTAGTTTTGAAGGACATAATTTCCTATTGGTTAAAATTAATCAGAAAAATATTTACAACATAAAATCATAAAATTATGTGGTTTTGACTCTAAATATTATTTTCCCCACAAAATCCTGAACAATCTCAAAATTATCAAATACTTTTCATGGAAAGTAACAAGAGAACACTGTGACACCCTGAAAACGCAGTCTTATGAATAACAATGATTCAAAGGAATATTTCCAAGTAAGCAGCCTTCCCTTTCAGCAGTATTTCCACGATGGATAAAGCTTTTCAGGAAAAAACTGTAATTAACCAGCTTTCTTCTTAGTAAGGCAATAAAAGAGAGCTCACAGACACCCAAGAAAGCACAGACAAATTCACTAAGAGGCAGGGAATTCCTCACACATTAAAATGTGTGCATTTGTGCATTAGCATTCATGCAGAGGATCTCATCTGAAGCTTTGAAGAAGAGCCTTTCAACACCTAAAGTGCAGGGCATATATTTGTGCCTAACTGAACTTATTGGAATTAAACTCTTCATGCTCTCTTTATATTAAATTTAAATTTTAAAAAAAGGCAAACACGAACAGACCACCCCTTAAAAAGAAAGGAAAAAGCAAACCACCAAACAAACCATCAAGCAGAAAATGCTAGTACAACAGTGCTCATTCCTGGACAGTTCTGCCCAAGGGCAGCAAGGAATATCACTCACCAAGGGTGCCAACACACTTGTTTGGTGGCACGCTGTGGTTGCACACATGGGTGCATTTGGGTCTCATCTGGCCCACAGTTGGCAAACCTTCTGCTTGGTCTCTCACTTGTGCCAAGATGCTCACCAGTCTGCAGAGAAAGAATCACAAGCATTAAATGTGGAGCCTTTAGAGCCCCTCTAAAATGACAACAGTGTTGCTTTGAAACTCCTGGCAGTAATGGAGATCTTTGAAACCTCCCTGCAGCTTGCCCAGCTTGTTCCACCCCAAACAGAGTTAATTTACAGGAGGCATTACATAGTCACAAAGTGCCAGATATTCACAAAAATAATATGTCATTGCTAAGTAGACTGTGTGATTATCATCTGAAATCTTCCTTCTGCAAAACATTAAAAGAGTTTCTTAAAAAAAAAAAAAAGGCAAAATACATTTTTTCTTAAAAAATAAAGGCAAAAGTTCTTGGCAAAATACATTTTTTTGGTGTAATGTTCTCTATTTTTTTAACAATGACCGGAAGGTTCTGCTGCTCCAAAGCAAATTTTGTAGTGAAATTAAACAAAACAAACCACAAAAATAGCCTCCAAGCCCCAACCCCAAATGCCAAAAACAAGAGGAGGATTTCAGGGCATTCACTGATTAACCCATTGTGCTGACTTGGAGCCCAGGCTTGGGTGCACACTGAGCCCTTGAGCACTCCTTGGCACTTTGCTTTCTTTCTGTAGTGAACAAATGTGGAAACCTCATTCTTTAGCCCCTACAGAATGGTACTGCTGTCCAGCCAACATCAAATTAACTATGGTGAACTGTAGTGCTCTGCCTATTTTTGGAAGGAGCCAACATCCAAATCTATTTAATCTGAAAATGTATGCAAATGAAGAAATTTGCATGGGGCACTCACTAAAATTGTAATTAAAAAAGGAAGCAAAGAAAGCACTAGTTTGCTATAATTTAATGGATATATATCTGGTTAATCCTTTCAAGCTCACATACATTAACTTCACAATGCTGTCTAATGGACCTTTTCTCTTTTATGAAACCCTAACACACATGAAAAGGACAAGTTTTGTAGGACCTGGCTCAAAGCTTTAAGGTGTTCCTACTGGTTAGGAAGAAGGAACTGTTGTGATGCAGCAACATATTTCACTTCATCTTTTAAAATTAAAGCAGACACAACAAAAATAATTAAAGTAACTTTCACAGGCAGAATATTTTTAAAATGTTTGAATAGCATTTGCATTGAACTACTAAATTTCTCACAGTGCAAATTCATATCTAGCATGCCAAGCAAAGATAGCAAAAGCAGTGACAGAAAAATCTTTTACAATACTGCCTCACCTGCAAGCCTGGAGAAGTATCTTCTGGGAGAACAAAAGAGAAGAAATACTCAATGACTAGTTCTGGGTGCTGAAAAGAGTAGCCCCCAAACTCTTTCCAGAAAATACCAGTGATGTTCTAATTAGAGCCATTTAGATCCTTTTTTGTTTGTTTGTTTTGCATGCAGCATGCTATGATCCAAATGGAGAGCACGTCTCTCACATAAGTAACAAACAGCCATCACTAGTGACATTTTGTTCCCTCCCAACAGTTCTAGTTTCTAAACATGAGCCTCTGATGAAAGGCTGGCCTCCAGCAGCAATGCTCCAAGCCGTGTTGTTCCTTCACAGCCTTCAATTTATACTCAAGTCACGAACATGACACTCCTTTTGTTAGCTTTTGATTGTCATCTTCTGTTTTCAGCAATAATTCCCATAACAAAAATTGTCATTGTGATAGGTGCTGTGGAATCAGTAAGATTAATAAGTAGCTGGTATAATATCTAAATACTCTCCCCTATCAAGATGAGTATGTTGCTGAATTTGTGCTATGTTGAACAGCTGACAGTAGAAATAGTTATAATAGATCACTTTGACAACTTTAGATTTACTTAATGGATTCATCCACTTTGCAGATTGGGTTTGTGCACATTCTCTCAGCATGCAAAACATGACTATTACCTTTAAAACATTTGCTTTGAATTGTATATGCTGCTACATAAAATAAACTTTTTTTTGTGGTCTGTAGACTTAAATATGTATCTTAAGAGACATGTATTAGTATGTTTTTATGTCATGTGCAAAGTAAATTAATGTAGCTGCACTAAAGTTCACGCACCTCTTTAGTGATTTTATCACGTTTTCATTTAATTCACACAAGCTGACTTTTTTCCTTTTTTAAATTCCTATCTCCGTTTTTCAGATTTAGAAAACATAATTAGTAGCAAATAAAGACACTGCAGAAACTGTGCCTGGAAAACTTATACCTTTTCTAGTCTGCTCACAACACACCACAAAGGTATTAATGACCAAAAAATAATCAAGGATTAGTTCATGATAGTTCCAGTCCAATTCCGTGAATACAAAGAGCAAAAGCAGCAGAAGAGGCTGGAAAGGGCCCTGTGTCCAATAGAGGATAATCCCCTCCACAAACACAGACACTGGGGAGGAGGCCACACTGCCTCCTGAGGTCTCCTCATGTGGGAGAATGTTTGGAACATGGCGTGGACTGGGCACATTCTGCTCAGTGATCAGACCAAGAGACATTCAATACCGCTAAAACTCTGGGTATGTGTGCTGTGTGACTTTGGAAAGAGGCTGCACATCTTCCCAGCAGGACACACAGCTCTGAAGAAACACAACTTCAGTAGTTTCGGGGTCTTAAAAGAATATTTCTGCTTTGCCATCACAGAAACTGAACCCCAGCCCAGGGACAGCCTGGCAAGCGCCTCACTCCAGGTGAGGTACTCCTGATCCTCAAGCCAGTGGCCTTCAGCCCTGCAGGATGGGCAGCTCTGGAACAAGCCCACTGGGCAAACTCTCTGAGGTCCAAGACTCTGGGATTTCAGCATCCAAATGAGCTCAGTGAGCCTTTGGATCATCTCCAACATTCTCCTGCAAATGTCTTGGCTGATGGGTTTTTGTCACATTTGCTGTAGTAACAGCACATAGGGAATCTAGATTGCTGTACACTCTGGAAAACTGAGCATCAGCCTCTGACAAAATAATCTGAATTTTTAGTCCATGAGAAGTTCCAAAATTGACATTTACTGTGAACTTAAAATCCTTCTTCTTGCCTAGGAATAATATTGTATCATTTATTATACATGAATATCACAAAAGAATTAATTTATTTACTTCTACTACTATCTTAGACATCTATTTCTGAAAAGACAAATGTTATTTTTTTACTTGGGAATGATATAAATACCTCAATATATGTTTTTCCCATCAGTACTTCAAAAAGGTGGAAAAATGCTAGCATTTCTATTTCCCAGGTTAACAAGAAGTTACTCAAGGCAACATAGGCAGGCTGTCACAAGGAAACCAGCTGAAGACAGGCAGCTTTGAAGTCAAATTGCATAGATTGAGACATTTAGACTCTGTCACATCACTTTAAATATTATACTGAATTATGAGCATGAGATCATGTATGATCTGTTGTTGCTTTGCATGGTTTGAAGAATGTGAATAATCTGCAAATTAACACATGCACTTTAAGATAATTAGAAAATCAGATAACCCTTGGTTTAAATGTATTAACACTCTTTTTGCACAGTGGAATATATTGCCATCATTGGACTAAAATATAAGCAATGTCTGCCAGCAATAAGTGTAGTTAATGGCTCTAAACAGTTGCTGTAATTTATTTGATTTTATAAAGTGAGACTTTAAATAAAAAAAACCCCTGCAATTATCCATTTTGTTGTTCACTTGTATCTTTTAAAAAAATAGTGTAAAACACAATAAATGTTCATGCAAGTTCTCAGATGTCAAGGTAAGTGTTACAGTCCCATTAACACAAATTGTTTTTCCTTATCTCCTAGCTACCTAGGCTTCTGCTGCACCCTCACAGAAATACTTCTATATGGAAATACATACATGCATTGTTAGCCAAGGATTAATGGCAAGTTCACATTTTTCTTACCCAACTATTGGATGTAATAATACTTTTCAGTATCCAGGCAGCCTTAAATTTGAAGTGATCTTGATTTTGCTTGATTCTCTTGGGTGTTGTTCATGAAATAAATGCTTCTTAATTACCATTTCAGGGTGACTGCATGGCTGTATAAGAAAAAATAACCATGTACATTAAAAAAATAAATTAAAAATGCAAATGCACAACAAATTTGGCAGCCCATTCTCTGACCTCTCCAAAATCCTACAGGAATGGCTGTGGTGTTGAATACAAACCACCAGTGAGGCCCTTCTTTGTTCGTCCTGCAATTTCTTATAATTGAGATTTACATTTTTCACGCCTAATGTTTTCAGGTAATTAAGCAGTCTCCAAACACCTACCTGCTGGCATATTCCCCAATAGGAAGGGGGGACGTTTGGACTGATGATGTTTTGTGTTCCCAAAACCAAAACACGGAGCCCAGCATTCCTGGGGGTGGCTGAGCACCTTCCTGCCCATAGGAAGCAGTGAGCGAACTCCTTGTTATCTTTGTGCTTTGCCTAATGAAGTGTCTTTATCTCAAGCCAGGAGTTTTCTCACTTTTACCCTCCCAATTTTCTCCCCAGTCCTGTTGGCTGGGGAGTGAGTGAGCAACTGCGTGGGGCTTGGCTGCTGGCTGGGATTAAATCACAACACCTACAAGTGTGATTCTTTGAACGGTGGGAAGAGTAACTACAGCAACTAACAAGACATGAGCCTTCAGAAGGTAGAAGAGGGCTGGCTGCTCCTCCACTGTGTTAAAATTTCGAATCACATCAAAGAGTAAGAACAAAACAGGAAAAGAAAAGATGTGTGGGGAGAATCAAGGCATGAGCTGCAAAGTAATCAAACCACTTAAGTGAGAAGTAAGTGATGAGGATGTTTTAGAAAAGTGACATTTCTGAATCCCATCTTCCATCTAGACCTTACACTTTTATATCCAGATTACTGCTCACAGCAAGCTGTCTCAGCTCCTGGGCTTTCCCTTTGTCTCTGCTATGATTAATATGACAGATATTTCTTCTAGCTGTTCCTATTCTCTGCTGTGCTGTCTCTCTCATGCACTTGCTGTTTCTCTTTCTGCCTCTCATTATTTGCTCAGGCTTCCAAGCCCTCTGTGACAGCATTCACAGAACAAAAGGTTGCCATTACATTTATCCCTATTTATCCTCCTTTGATGTTGAATTGAATTTTGTTCTGCTAGCATGAAGAAAGCTACCTTTGTCATCATCTTCATCATCTCTATTTTACTTAAATCACCTTGAACACAACTGTAATTTATTTCCTAAATTTATAAAAATCCTTTACAACCAAAAAGTTTTCACAAACCCTTTCTCTATTTTTTCTGTAGTGAATAAAATGAGGTAAAATGCAGGTGTGTTTGTAACCAGAATGCATATAGGCATTTTTCTCTTCTATCTTAAGAGCCACCTTGAAGGTACAGAGTGGCCAATTAGCCAGCTATGTATAGAAGTAAGGAAGAAAAGGAGTAATCATCATAATGATTTGTTCCTTTTCCTACATTTCATTGAAATTCTAAAAAAAAAGTAATTCACAGGTAGGAATCAGTCTTATTTAAAGTAAAATTGCCCTTCAAAAGTAGCAGAAGTCTGCAGAGGGATCAGGTTATACACCACTTTTGCCAATCTGCTGCTCACTAACTCCAGCTCCCAGAACCATTAACCATGTACTGGTTTTGGCTGGGATAGACTTGAATTTCCTCACAGTGGCTGTATAGGTTTATGGTTTGGATTTCTGCTGAAAACAGTGATGATAATATAGAGGTGCTTTTTATTGCTGAGCAGGGCTTGCACAGAACATAAAGTAGATGGGAGAATGAAGAAGGGACGATATGTTTGGAATGACACTGTGTGTCTTTCCAAGTCCCTGCAATGTGTGATGGAGCCTTGCTGTCCTGGAGATACCTGCCATGGGAAGCAGTGACTGAATTCCTTGTTTTATCTTGTGTGCACGGCTTTTGCTTTCCCTATCAAACTGTCTTAATCTCAACCCACAAGTTTTCTAGTTTTTACCCACAAACATTCTCTCCCTGATCCCTGGTAAGGGAGTGAGCAAGTGGCTACATGGAGCTTGGATGCTGGCAGGGGTTGAACCACTAGAACCATCGCTGTATTTTATGTGGCTGGTTGCAAGGTCTCTGCAGATTGGCAATAAATGAGAAACGCATCTTCCAAAGATACAGCAAATGCAACAGAACTATTTTACTCATTACTTTCCATGACATGGATTCAGTGTCAAGAGACTGGAATCTAATGCAGTGTTGATTTTTTGTGAAATCAGAAAGCCACTGTACCTTAGAGAGCTCTATTCTAATCAAAACCGTCTGTACTATACCATCCTCGTAGTATGCATTCAGATGTGACAAAATGGAGATTAGTTATGACTTGACATGCCTCTGGGACAATAAATAGTGTTTACAACTTCTTATAGAAAAATGTACTGAGACCAAGTCAAATCAGTTGTCTAAAATTGTGACTGGTAAGAATCCCAGACTCTACAGAGCTTATTACATTCACTGTCACACACACACACACAGGGTGAGAAGGTGAGTGCCACCCAGCTCACAGGGGAACTGTGCATAGGCAGCACTAAAACTTCTGTTAATAAAGTGGCAAGAGGGAAAACTCTTTACTCCCAGGGCTGCCCTCATACTGGGACTGGAGCAATTTTCCGAATGAACTACCAAAACCAACTGAAGCACCAGGGGTTCAGAAGAAAATCTTCAAAAGCTATCATGAGAAGTTCACAGAAAAGAGAAACTACATATAGATTGAACTTCAAGTGACAGAAGTGCCACAACATAGCTAGGATGTGCCTTTGTTCATCCTCTCCATGAACTCAGCAGAAGGTGCAGAAAATGTTATGTTAAGCTGGTCACCATTGCTTCCATTCTGAGAAAGCTAAATATATGGGTCTAGAGAAAGGATTTTTTTTTTTTTTCTAATACAAAGGACTACCTACCAGCTACTTAAAGTTTACATTCAGAGGCAGTCTCACTAATTAATTCTCTGTGCTCTATTTCCCTTTTCTTGGCAGAGAAAAATGAGAGGCCAGCACATGCTGTTTGCCAGCATTAAGCAGCTTTTCAAAAACACGCTTCAGGCTTGGATATATCAAAAAGATGATGCTAATAGCACAGGATCAATGACTTCCTTGGGAGTCAGGGCAGAGGTCAAATCTATATGCTCTTTGACCTCAGTACAAATTTTGACACAGCCAGTGATTGCTGATGATCTGCTAACACACTCCACCAGCATAGCAATGTACTCTTATCCCTTCAGGTAAGAGTATCCCTTCATGCTTCTCAAACAGGACCTTAAACAGAGACAGCAGACACAATTTTCTCTCACAGACATATACACACCAAGGTCAAAGACTGATGCAGGCCCCCTCCCTCAATTTCAGTTGCTACGAGTGATCTTCTGAAGGAACAGGACCTCAGTCCTTACACTGCTTAGTGCACACCTCTTCTCCAAAGGAAAATATGTCTAAATGGCATTAAGCTCAGAGAAAAATTTAGCCTGAGACCTGAATTTTGCTCTCATTAGGAATAAAGGAAAAGATTTCTCTATCACTGCAGAGGTGTGTTTTCAAATTAGGCCAGTCCCAGCCAGCTGGGTGGATATTGGAGCAGAGGTTCAGTGTACTTACAGCATGTTAGGTGGCATCACTGGTAACAAACTCAGTCTCTAATATCTCAGAAATTAAGGAGGTGCAGTAAACACCTGCAGTAAACACCTAAGAACCTTGATGCTCTTCTCTGCCGAAGAACATCAAGATGCTTGAGGAACCTGTTCAGTCCTTTGGTAGCACCAGACTGTAGCATTGAACTTTTCCTCATGCTTTAATCAGAGAAGAAAATCTGTAGTGTGGTTAACTGTAGTGCAGTTGGTTGCATTCTATCAGATTTCCTTCTTTGACATTATACAATGTGCTTCTATAAATTCTTGGTAGAAATTGAAAATCCAGCCTCAGAGCAAACCAACAACCTTAGTCAACACACAAGGAAACTGTTCACAAAATGGAACATTTCCCTTTTCTCAGCTACTGCTATATCCTACAGAAAATCTTCAAACTTTGTCTAAACTTCCTTCTCTAAAACTGGAAGTAAGCCTTGTTTCATACTATAAAAATCGACATGTTAAAATGAACACAATAAACTAGAGGAGTTTGAAATGGCCATGCTTGTTTTATGAATGTACTAAAGTAAATGCACCATCTCATACCAAAGAAGAAGTGCAATGACAACAAAGAATCTTTTCCTCCCATTTAATTGCTGCTTTGGCACCAATCTAGTAGGATTCACATGTTTTATTCTATAGCTATATTGCTTTCTGTGGGTATATGAGTCTTTTGTTTTGTCAAGTCCTCAAAGTATTAGGCAACAGCCTATGAAGCCACAAAGTCTATGGAAGATTATTCATAGACTCTGATTGTATGGCTGAACATAGTTCTCATGTTTTATGCAAGCCTGAATTATATACACTCAAAGTGAGCGCTTCAATTCAGAGACTCACAGAGCTCCATTTTAAAATTATATAATAATTTTTGAATTAACAAAAAAGGGAAACCATAGCACCTGTGGTTTACTGCATAGCTAACCCTGTTAAATATGCAGTGTAAATTTGGAAAGAATAAAAAAGCCTTTAAACAAGAAAGCTTATAAAAAATAAGTCTCACTTTGGAGTGAACTTTGACACTCTAGCTATAAAATTTTTAAGCTAACATTCAAAAAGAGGAATTATGTCACACAAGTTTCTCTTTCATGGATCCTCACATCCATTCCATTCCATCTCACCCTTAAGGTCACTAGCATCTTACTTATTGCAGAACAGCCACCTACAGAGAAGAATCTAATAGAGCCACAAGGTAATAATAAAAAAAAAGCCATTAAATCATGAAGTTGAAATATTTTTTTTTCTTTACAGTAGCGTGCATGTTTTGTGGTGTGCTCTGAAGCCTCACCTTTGGACTGCAATCCTACTGTAACATCAGAGACCAAGCAGCAGTAGAGTGGGGTTTTTGAAGTTCAAGCAACACTAACAAGCAAGGATCCTTAAGAAAACGTCCCCTCCTCACACAAAAAGTAGAAAATCACCT